AAAAAAAAAATGGGATTACAGCATAATAAACCAAAGCAATCACCCATGAGTCAACAGTAACACTCAAGAATGTTATGGTCAGGGAGAGGAGATCATGGTTAGAGAGCATTGTTAATGAATAATGGAGAAACAGTAAATTTGGCAATTCACTTTTGTTTTGTCCTTCCCTTTGGTCACATGGCACTCTGCATTACGTCTGTAGTCTGCCAGCAAGTGCCATCACCAGGTACTGATGCTCAGTCCTGGATCAGTGCCCTGAATCAAGATTGCTTAGCCAGAAACAAATTGTAGCTTGTTATCATTTGTTTCTTAAGCTGTAGCCCCATAAATTCAACATAATACCTTTTATTTAAAGATATACACTGTTTTGTTTGTTTGTTTTTGATGCTTAGAACTGCCTTCGGGTCTTGGCATGTGCTAGGCAAGTGCTTTAGCACTAAGCTACATAAGCTACTATAAGTCAAAGGAAATGGAAGAAAAGAATCAAGATAGAAGCAGAAAGTAATACAAGGAGACACAAATGCACAGGCAATAAAATCTGCAGCCAAGGGTGTGGCTCAGAAATTTCACGTCTGCCTACCTTGCTCAAGGCCCGGGGTTCAGCTACCAACATTATAAAAGGAAATTAGCAAAGCCAAACATTGGTTTTTCGTAAGGGCCCTGGATTCAGTCTGATCAAGGCTGATGAGGAACAAAGACTCATTAAAGGTCCCTGTAAACATTCAAAAGATGCTGACAGGGTCTTGCTCTGTAGACCAGGCTGGTTTCAAACTCAGAGTCCTTCCAAGTACTGGGCTTGAAAGTGTCTGGCACCATGTGTAGAGAGAAGATTTTTATTTAATAAACAAAAGTGTGTCGATACATGTGACAATTGTGCGTTAAACTGGACATGTTTCTTAAAAAGGATTTATTAACTTCTTGTAATTCACTCAAATAGAAACTTGGGTTGATGAGATGGTTCAGTGGGTAAAAGTGTTTGCTGCCTGATGACTTAAATGCCAGTTCCAGAATCCACAGGACGAAAGAAGAAAACCAATTCCAACATGAGTTGTCCTCTGACATACATAACACACACACACACACACACACGCACGCACGCACGCACGCGCATACACACAGAGTAAATAAATAAATACATGGAAAATAATTACAGCATAGAAACTTGGTAGTTGTTTAAGAAACAGAAACCACAGTTTGAACATTTCACATTCACGTACACAAATCACTCAAGCATGAGAGGGAATGTTAACTTTCTGTTGCTATAACAAATACTGAAGTAATCGGCTTTTAAAAAAGAAAAGTTTGTTTTGAGTCACAGCCCAGAAGTTGTAGTCCATGGGCCAGCTGCTTCTGTGGCTCTATGGCTGTGGTGACACGTGGTGGAAGTGTCTGGCAGCACAAAACCTCCCAGACAGTGAAAAAGAAAATGGAGGAGACAGAGAGCCCACAGTCCTCTTCCCAGGCCTCATGCCCCAAGACCCACAAGGCCTCCCGCTCTTTCTGCCTCTTATAGCCCCACCACTTCCCAAGAGCACCAAGTAGAGAGCAAACCCTCAACACGAGTAAGATCCAAACTGGTGCAGAAGGCTGAGCCTGCAAATTTACGTGTCAGCACGTAAAGATAAAATAAACTCATTTTAAAACAACCCAAGATAAGCCTCTTCCTTCCAGAGGACAGAGAAACAGAGAATGCCCCTGTGACGGTTAGCATCACGTGGAAGCCATGGAGAGCCTCCTGGTGGGGGGTCTTGATTAGGTTAGTTGAGATGAGATGAGTTTCTTAGGAGAGACCCTGGGACCTTATGGAAAGAGGAAAGTAAACTGAGCAGAAGCATTTCTTGGTTTCTCTTTCTTTCTTCTCCTTCTTCCTCCTCCTCCTCTTCTTCTTCTTTGATGCGGGGGAGGGGGGATGTGGTTTTTTTGAGACAGGGTTTCTCTGTGTAGCCCTGGCTGTCCTGGAGCTCACTCTCTAGACCAGGCTGGCCTCGAACTCAGAGATCCGCCTGCCTCTGCCTACCGTGCGCTGGTATCAAAGGTGTGTGCCACCACCGCCCGGTTTGTTTGTCTCGATTGTGGATGTGATTTGTTCAGCTTCTTCAAGCTCCCATCGCCTTAACTTCTCCACTGTGATGAACAGTATCTTGAATTGTGAATCAGCTAAGCCCTTTCTCATTCGGTTTTTGTCATCGGGGTACTTTAAGACAGACATGGGGAAAAGAAAACAGCTTCCCAGTTCTTTACGAGATCAGCACGAACCTGATACCAAATACAATAAAGTGTGGCTCAGTGGGCAGCGTGTGCCTGGCATGCACCGGGCCCCGGATTAGACGCAGGCACTGAAACAAAACTAAACTGATGAGACAATTTTAACAAAGGGGACATTACAGACCATCAAATTTTACTGTTGTCTATGACATAAAAATCATATTGAATCACTATTAAGCGGGGTTTGTGCTAGGAATGCAAAGGTGGCTTAAGACTCACAATGCATTTTAAAAGGAGAAAAATAATAAGACAGAAAATACATCTAATGTACAACCTAATAAAAAATGGAAGAGCCGGGCATGATAGTGCACACCTGTAATCCCAGGACTCAGGAAGGCAAAAGCAAGTGGATCTCTGTGAGTTCGAGGCCAGCCTGATCTACAAACTGAGTGCAGGACAGCCAAGACTGCACAGAGAAACCCTGTCTTGAAAAGAAACAAAAATAAAATAAAAGTGGCAGAAAGAGGGTAGGGAAGTGCCCCATGCTGGCAGGCATGATGGCTCACAACTGTAATCCCAGGGGTGACTAAACCTAGGGGGTCATTCTGCTCAACACAGAAAGATGAGAGCAGAGAGAGAGAGAGAGAGAGAGAGAGAGAGAGAGAGAGAGATTTTCATAGAACAGAAACTTCAGATAAACAGTGATCATCCCCAACCATCCAACATGGTCATACATCTGTTCATATCTCTTCCCACAAAAGCGGGGCTGTCTGTCTGCTGTGACAGAGTACAGTTGTCCCTCATAGATTATTTTACTGTGACAGAAGTGGAACCCAGGACCTCAGGCAGCTTAGGCTGTGCCACTGGGCCTGCTCCCACCCCTCACCTATTTGATGTGTGACAAACAAAACTGTTAGATGTCGCAGGTAAGACAAGGGCTCATGGCTTACCCACATGTATCCCCAACCCCACAACCACAGGCATAAGCCCAGTGTCAGTCCAGACACTGGACCACAGCAACCCTCCAGAAACTTGCTCCCTAGAATACCAAGGGAGCACCTTCTGCCACTTAGGTAAATAAAGCTGTGGCCATTAATGTGCCTAGGGCTGGCCAGCTTGGGGTCTAAGGAGAGGGGGAGGGGACTTTAGTAAGACTATCCCTCCCAGAGTAACCCCCCCCCCACAGGAGCAAGAGGGGGGAAAAAGAGGGAGGTGCCAGGCCTACAGAGATGTCCTGCTGTGACACTGGCCAGTTCTTCCCTTGGGCGGACATCCCAACCAAGCTCTTGGCCAGAGGACACCCCAGCAGGGGCACCTTCCTGAGGCCCAGCCTGGCTGTGGTCACTGACTTTCCTTCACAGTACATAGCTGGGGCTGGAGCCTTCCTCCCACTCCCAGCTTCTTAAAACAAGAACAGGAAGCAGGGAGAGTTGTTGGATGAAATGCTTGGGGTGGAAGCAGCCCACATCCGCTTTTTACCAGGGGAAAGGAAAGCTTGAGAGAGAGAGTTTAGAGTGCAATGGAGTACAGGCTCCAAGCACTAAGCACAGCCTGATTCTCATGGGCCAAATGCTGTTCAGAGATCTTCCTCGGAGATAAGTGGAAGTTCAGGAGGGCTGCTCATCTGGCCGGTTCTCTGTGGAGCCTGAGCAAACGCATATACCCTACCTCACTCACACCTTTGCATTCTGGGAGGATTAAATGGGTGCTGCACAGCACAGTTGGTGGTAACTCTTGCGTCCCTTGGGAGCACTAAGTGGAGTAGGAAGGACCGCCCCATGGATCCGGATGTGAGCTGCCAGATACCAGCTACTGAATGCCAACTACTGCCAAGTTGTATGTAGATGTGAATGGAAGAGAGAATGCCTGGGAACTCAGAGGACCAGGTCAGCAAGGTTGGGGGTGACTATGAGCAAGGGAGGTGGGAGAGAATGGGTAGGCAGGTGGATTAAAAAAGGGAGGAAGGGAGGGAGGGAGGAAGGAAGAAGGGTGAATTCAAGAACAGCAAAAGAAAGCATGCTAGAGTTGTATTTTGGGCGGGAACACCACCCTCCCTGCTGCAGGACCCAGCCCTGGGTGTACAAAGCAGCTGAACCCCCACAGTGGGCTACCAAGCTGATACTCTGGGAAGGAAGGAGAGGCTCGCCCAGGTTTCTGGGGGCTCAGTGGGAGACAGGGGGCCAGGGATGGCTTCCTGCAGCAGCCCGGTCCTGTGGCGGCATGGTGGGTAGCAGAGGCTTCCTGTGGGCTGGGTTTCCTAGAAGACAGCCAGGAAACACCCACTGTGGTGCCTGTCACTCTCTTCCTCCCAGCCTGTCATTCATCAGTGACTCCAGTCACCAAGACCAGACCCTGTCAGAGAGAGGGAGGTCCCGATAGATGTGGATCTGGTGTGCGTGCTCGTCTCCTAGGAAGCGCTGAGTATGGGTGGTAGGTGGGACAGACCAACACATGGAATCCTGAAGCCCACTGCCTACGTCCCTGAAAAAAAATCCCAGCCTTGATCAGGACAGGAAGGGACAAGGCAGCGTTGTACAGCTGGCCTTCTCGAGCAATAGAGTCACAGTATGTCTGCAACTCTGTCCTGGGTCCCCATCTCCCCTACGGCACACCTACAGTGTTCTACAGAAGGGCCCTAGGCCTGGTGTAGGAAGCCAAACACACATGGCCAGACTTAGCTCACAGCCACGACGGCACTCGCTCACATGTCCTCTTCACACCCCTACCCCAGTCATACAGTCTCCAGAAGCAGCCAGCTGCTGAGGGCCACGGAGCTCAAACCCCCTCTTACTCACCGTCCAATGTCAGAGCAGATCTGTGAGTCAGCGGCCACGGCTGCATGTGCGAAGGCCTCAGGACCGCAGGAGGCATGGTGATGAGAGAGGCCCACAGCCAGCACAATGGTGGCCAGGCCCAGACCCAGGCCCAGCAGGACCAGGCAGATTGTGGCTCTGTGGCCCCATGCCATGGTACAATGGTCCGGGAAGAAAGAGGGGAGGTGGTGGGTACACAGGGCAGTGGACAGACGAAGGGACAGACCGACTGCCAGGGGAGTGGAGAAGAAACTACACAGGTGAACTCAGGTGACTGGACGGATGGAAGAGATGAGTGGGTCCAGAGAGAGAGACAGTCACACGGGACAGACAACTGGGTAAAAAGGAAAATAGACAGGCTTACAGATAGGTGGGCAGGCAGGTTACAGAGGAGCAACAGGAAGCCAGCCAGCCAGGGTTTATGGATAGACAGAGGGACAGACACAGTGGCCAGGCTGCTCCCCTCCTCTACCGCCTGCTACCAAGGCAGATCCGCAGCTCCAGCCACAGGTCTGAACTTCCAGTTTTTAGCTTCCACAGCTTGGCCCTGGAGGCAGGCCAGGCATCTACAGGGAGTTTTTCTTCAAGGGAAGAGCCAGCTCCTGCTGTTAACTCTTTCACTGCCAGTTGATCCCATGCCCAACGGCACCCAGAGGCTCCTCATCCCAGTGCCGTTGGGAATATGAGGCTTGCTGTCCCCCAGGAGAAATGAGGCACAGGACTCATGGAAGCTTTCTCACCACTTTCGGTGACAGAGTAGCTCCCAATAGCTCAGGGTCATGGTGTCTCCCCGAATGGTGGGACTCCACTCCCCAGCCCCACACCGCCAGTTGGTTCCACCGTAGGCAGCAAGCAAGTCAACCTAGCTACCCACACACAGTACAGCGATGGGACTGAAAGTGGTCCAAAGCAGCCACTCCAGACCATTTTACCACCTCCTGGCACAGCCTTATCTACACGTATGACCGTGCGGTGTGAAGGGGGTGAGGGGACCACATGTCTAGCCCCTGGCATCCAGTATCGCTGCATCGTGCACCCTGGGACATGGTGACCCAGAAACACAACCTTAGGCCTCTAGAGGGTGAGGCTGTCCTGCCTGGGTACCCTCACTTCTGCAGCTCGGAGCCCTGCCGGCTGCTAGTCTGTCTCCTTGGGTCTAGTGGTGCCCAAGACTATTTCCATGCTGGGGAGCCTCCTACTCTTGGGCCTGGCTTGGATCCTGCTCCCTGGACTCAGGATGTCCAGGCGGGAGGTAGCAGAGGGATGAGGACCCACTGATATACTCTTTTGGTCAGACTTAAAGGTCGCGCAGGGCAGTAGAGCACAGGGCTGGGCTTCCTCTCAGTTTCAGTGCCTTCACAGCAGCCCTCACTCTCTTTCCACTGAGCATGGCCCCCGCTCTCATCTCCATACCCAAATGAGGCCCAGAGAAGGAATGCCTGCACTGGGCCACCGGGCCTGCTAAAGTGTCCCATCCAAAGCTCCTGCTGTTTCCACATAAGCCTGTCCCCCACATCTGCCTAGAGGGAAAGGGTAATATCTGTGGGAGCCTCTCCATCCCCACTATCTCCCACACTCTTCAATCAGTAGCCAAAGCATATTCCTGAGAGGAGGCCAGCCCACCGACTGGACACAGTCCCCAAAGCTCTAAGGACAAAGCAGCAGGGGACAAGCAGATTCAAGGGTAGGTTATCTCCCCTCCTGCTCCCACACAGGGACATTCTGGTCAGGCATAGGCCAGGGTGCAGAGAGCCCTGCAAACTCTCAACACCGGACTTGGCTGGGGAGGCCAGTTCTGGTAATCTTGAAGGCCTTTACCCAAAAAGTAACAGGGAAATGACAGCGGTCACTCAAGTCTCCAAGTCCCTGAGGAAACTCTGGGCTAAACCTCATGGTCTGGGAGAGTGAAGTACGTTGCCAGCACTCTTGGCCCATGGAACTATGGGAATGCCAATCCCCATAGAGCCTGAAACATTGTCACATACCACACCCCAACACATTGGCTTAGGGACAGCCCACACCTGCCTTTTCCCCTACAAATATGGATTGAGGAATGACTGTCACTCCCACCTCCCAAAACAGCACAGTCTCTGTCTTCACCCAGATACAGAATCCCAGAGACACAGACATGGAGCATACAGGGAATCCTGCTTTAGCTTGTGCTCACTTCTAGGGGCGATATTTAGCTCTCAGGCTGTGACGGCCCCAGCGGCCCACATCATGTCTGCAAGCATCTCCTTCCTTCACGGTCACAGCTGTGAGTTCTACAGACCTCGACACAGCAGGAAAGGCTGCCCTTTGGGACTGTGATGACTAGCTTTATAGCAACACCAGCTAGAGTCATCAGACAGGGAGCCTCAAATGAGAAAAGGTCTCCTTAAGACCAGGCTATAGGCAAGCCTGTAAGGACATTTTCTTAATCACAATGGGAGGGCCTAGCCCATTGTGGGTGGGGCCATCCCTGGGCTGTTGGTCCTTCAGTTTTACCTCCCTAAGCAAGCGCTGGGCAGCGACAGCCCACACCTGCTCTGCACATGAAGCATTTGTGAGCCCCACCTCACCTCCCTGTGGCGCCCCCGGTTGTGGCAGCGTTGCTTCGGCCCAGTTAGTGGCAAGATTGGGGCGCCCTCTAGTGGCTGATTCCGCAAGTATTCCTGCCTAGGACAATTTAGATGCTTGGTTTCACCCCTTGCCACTAACTCCCAAGCACATTGGGCTCCCTAACCCGCGCCCCCACTTCAAGGTTGAGACCAGCTTCATGACCAACAGTGCTAAGTCTCAGGATCCTGCCTCATCATTCTCCCAGCCAGATGGCTCCGTTTCATACACAAGACACTAAAGCCCAAGATACGGGAAGTCCAGCCAGCAAGGCTTCCTGGAGCTTGGCGTGGCCATTTATTACGCTGCTCTGTCTCCCTCAGGGTTAGCATGTTCTCCAGAGTCCCACTCTCGTTCATAGTAACTATCTCATCCCCTGACTGCAGATCAGTCTTGCCCCTTTGGAGCGCTCAGTAGCCAGCTGGTTCCCCGCCTTTCCTGGAGTCTGAGGCAGCGGCCCAACCACCTGATGTTCGCACAACAGCCTGAACCACAGCAATGTAGGTGGGTGTGACCTCTGTGTAGTGGTGGCGAGTCTTCAGGCCTGCCGTCACCGCCTGGGGGTGAGAGGGCAGAGACAGAGCCTCAGCAAGGCCACGGATGTGGCTGGAACCAGTTTTGTATGGTCACGGGCCTCGCAAACACGGTGAGGGCTACCTCCGGTCAATCGAGCGGGAAGAATTAGAGGCACCTGAGCTTCTAAGGTCTCCTAGGAATGGGCTGCCTGGCTCTCACTGAGCAAGGGCTCAGGATGACCTATGCTGAAGGCCTGGGGACCATGGGCAGGGGACACTAGCCACTGTTTGCTCTGTTAATGACTTGGAGGATTCCAGTCCCTAGTCTGGGATACCCTCTAACCCCAAACCCATGATTCTGCCCCCTCCCCCAGCTCCCAGCCTACCTGATCGATGTTCTTCTCTATTGTCGTGGTATTGGGCAAAAGCTGGTTGTGAAGCCGGGGCTCCTCTACCGCTCTCTTCACATCATAGCCAAACCACAGGTGGTTAATGATGGCCTGGAGGGAGAGGACAGCAAGATGTCAGCATAGCCCGGGAGCAAGGACAGGGAGAAAGGGGCAGGAAAGGGCAGGTCAAAGGCACGTACCAGTGCAGTGGACGTGGTGATCTGTGTGCCTCCTGAAGCCCCCACCACCATCTGTACCCTGCCGTCCTTATCCACAATGATTGAGGGACACATGGAGGAAAGTGGCTGCTTACCTATGGTCCGTAGGAGGTGACAGAGGTGCAGGTCAGCCGCCCGGCTAGGGTACCGCCCCCTCCCGACTCAGATCCCGCACCCCAAGGATTCCCACCCTGCACCTGGCTGGATGAAGTTGGCCGGTGAGGGGGCTACCCCAAATTGGTTCATGAAGTTGGGTGAGCTGAAGTCATCCATCTCATCATTAAACAGGATGCCACTGACTCGTGATAGGACCCTGGAGCCAAAGCTGAAGATAGGCAGGCTCGGAGAACACTTCACAACGCAGCCATTCCCCAACCTGGTCCCCACCCACCCCAGGCCAAGAGTACTCGCTAGGAGGGGCCCCACCCATACTGTGCACACTACCAAGGTGGGGCCTCTGTTTCCCAACGTGAAAGAGGGAGGCCCTTACAGGAAATGACGATAGCCCTCTGACCCCATTACTCATGTGCCCGCAGCCGCACAGCCCCTACTAGAGGTTGATGGTGCTGGTGGCGGACACAGCACTGCCATCCTCTGAAACCAGAGACAGGTGAGCGGTGCCACCGCCATCGGGAACGTAGAATTCAGGCTCGTAGTAGGCCACTGGGTGAGTGGTTCCATCTGAGATGCGGGTCCGTAGCTGAGCAGCGAAGAACTCAGAGGTCATGTTTTGGATCACCTGCCGAGACCCCAGAACTGGCCTGAGGAGGTTAGGAGGGAGGAGGGGGCGGGGAAGGGAAGGGAATACAACAGGGCTGTCCCAGCTGGTCTCAGGAAGCCCCAGCCATGGATCCGACCACCACTTACCTCTATGCTAAACCCTGACCTCCCCAGGCCCAGGGACGGCACCTCGTAAATCCTGCCTGACACCCTCTCTAACCTCCGGCGGCAAGTCCCTCAAGCCTCTAGGCTCGTGCCAAGACTTGTGTAATTATTTATGAAGCCCTGGTGCCACGTGCTCAGAGATGAGAAACCAGCAGGGAAGAGACGTGCAGGTAACAGGGAGAGCAATAACAGAGGATTGGAAATGAGAGGCCAGCCGGTGGGAATGGAAAGAGGGAAGCAGAAGGCACTTTGGTGGAGGTGCTACCTAAAGAGAGCCCAGAATGGAACCTGAGAGGTGCGTGCAGAGGCCCTGGATAACAAAGACTAGGATGACGGGAGAGGATGCTGACTAGCACGCGTCTGTCCTCTGAGGTCTCATTGGCCTATAGAGAGTTGACCCTGGCTTTGCTGTGAGCTGCACAGGCTCGGGGTAGAGGGGGTAAGCCGGATGGAAGACATTTTCACAAGGTCCCTCTGGTCCAGGAGAAGGCTGTGGACAACCACATCGAAGATGAAGATGGTGGGTGGCCTTGGGTTCTTTGGCCTGGAGTTGCCATTGACTGGGAAAGTAAATGCTGGAGAAGGAGCCACTGTAGGGGCAGGTAAGGACTTGCTTGCTTTGGAACATACTGAAGAGCATGGCTTGGGCAGATGGGCCCGTGAACACAGGTTCACGTGTGAAACTTACAGACAAAAAAAAAGAAAAGAAAAGAAAATGACAATCACAGCATAGGCACATGATGGCTGCCGAAAGCTATTGACAGAAAAGGTGGGTAGGAAGAGGAAATGAAGGGGGGAGCCGGGAAGAAAGGCAGCCTGGGACCTGTCAGATTTAGGCTAAAGGCCAATCAGGCCGCTCACCTGTAGCAACTCTTCCCTGTCTTCCTACTCAGAGACTGTAAAAAGAACATTTATTTCTCTGTTTCAGTTGTTGTCTAGGAGGCTTATTTGCTCTGTCTGCTAGCCTAGACCTAGTCCTGGAAGCTTCCGGCCTCCGTACAATCTAACCTAGGCCTAGAATGTTTTCAGCCTCTGAGACTTCCTGCTTAATTAGTCTTAGTCTTATTCTTACTGAGCTCATAGCTGGCTGGTTCGACTCAGCTGTTCCAGCTCAAACTCCTTTCCCAGCTAATTTACTCAGTCTGGCTTTTCTCTCTGCCTCTATATTGCTCTACTTGTCCTCTAACTCAAAACAGTCTGCTCTAATCTCCTTGCTCTTTATTCTCTGGTTCATTCTGTCTTCACCTGAGTGCGCTCTCTCTCTCTCTCTCTCTCTCTCTCTCTCTCTCTGAAACCCATCTATTACTGTCCTGGTAAAACTGCCTTCTCGCTCTCATTGTCCCTTAAGTAGCTTCCCTTTCCTTCCTCTTCTCATGAAAGTTGGGCATATCTTATTCTGTCCAGGTCTTTCTATGTGATTCATCAGTTTTTCTGCCACTCAGTTAAACACCACTTTCAAGCATGGGTACTTCCTTCTACAAACTAACTTAACCTTTGTTGTTTGGGGTTAAAAGCATGTACCACCAGATCTGGACCTAAGCTTTTCTTGACCTGAAACTTACTCTATACCAGGCTGGCCTTGAACTCAGATCTGTTTGCCTCTGTCTCTCAGAGTAAAGGTATGTTTATGTAGTCCAAGCACATCACACAGACCTAGAAGGTCTTTGAATGTGATCTCTTGCCAGAGCAGCCATGTTCTGAATTAAAATTCCTCTACAAGAAACTGTGAGTCTGTAACAGGCTCCCCAGATATCCAGGCTCTGGGGATGAAGTGCTAAATCCCAGCACACTTGCAGTTAAGGTTGTCCTGCACCTCTTCTACCCACTGGCCAATTCTGGGACCCCCTGCTGCTACAGGGCCAGGCAGATACTGCCTGTAGGTGTGTCTCTGACTCCAAGGTACTCCCCAGGTTCCCAGGTTCCTGCCATTCTGGAACCTGGGAACTCATTCCTCCAGTAAAAATTTATGGACCCTAGGCTGCCACACTCTGGACTATCTGGGCTGCTGGCATAATGGGTCTGCCTTCCCTCCTTCCTTCTCATGTCCACTACAGCATCTAAGTCTTGTATTAACAAGATTCCTTTCTCTCTTCCTGAAAGTGCAAGCCCTCTTTCTGAGCAGTCTCAACCCTTCTCCTTTCTCTTCAGATATCACCACACTCTCTCTAGCATCAAATTAATCATATGGCCTCACCGGGAGTGGAGGGGCCAGGGCATGATGGCACCTGCTTTTAATTCTAGCATGCAGAAGGTCTCTGTGAATTCTTAGACCAGCCTGGTCTAAGACGTGAACTCCAGGTTAGCTTGAGCTACCTAGTGAGACCTTGTCTCATAAAACAAAACAAAACAAAACAAACAAACAAAAGAAAAAAGAAAATTGTATGACCTCAAGGAACCATCTGGCTCAGCACCCTCTATCATACTGGAGCCTAGCAAAGACAGACAGTGCGTCAGCACCTGGTGCATGAACTTCCTGATCCAAGCTCAAACAGAAGCAGAAGAAGGCTGTAGTCCACACTGCAAGAGAACTGGCTTTAGAGACCGCTAGAACGGCAGAGGGTCTTCTATAGGTCAGGGGATCGGAGAAGTGTGGTGGTTGATTTTGAGTGTCAGCTTGGATTGAAAGACACCCAGGCGATTCTTAAAGTTCACCCATGTCTGTGTCTATGTTTCCAGAGAAGTTTGGAGCTGATGGCTTAATCAATGGTTTGGTCCATTTATTTATTTATTTATCTATCTATCTATCTATCTATCTATCTATCTATTTATTTATTTATTTATTTATTTATTTATTTATTTATTTATTTATTTATTTATTTATTTATTTATT